ACAACCTGACCACTGCAGATTCACTTAGGTGTTAATAAAAATGCTTTAGAAATGCATAATTCCCAGTCCGAAGACGTTAACAGCTCCAAATAGAAAGTCATGTGTTGTCATCTCAAGCCTACGGTAATTACAACATGGCATGAACGCAGCATTATTTCTCTTCGTCGGTTCAGTTGATGGTGCAGGGGCCCACCAAGATGGCTCAGGCTGAGCAGATGTCCACCAAGGTGGAGCAGACAGAATGGCAATAGACAGCACAGAGAGGTTAGAAGACCTCTGGAGCGGTCTCATGGGCCTGAGCAGCCTCTGAAGCCAACTCATGGACTGGAGTGGGCTTTAGGGGAACAGTCTCTGTAACAGCCAGTGCCGAGGCCCTTGGGATGCCAGCTACTCTGGCAAAATCTAATTTTGCGGAGAGACTCTGGACTGGTGGCCATGATGGGACGAGACTCTGGAATGGCAGCCATGATGGAAAGAGGCTCTGGAACGGCAGCTGTGACGTGAAGAGGCTCTGGGACAGCGGTCTCTCCTCAACCACCACCAGTGTGCAGCATCCACTTGGATGATGCGACGGCAGCCACAGGACAACAGCGTCAGTGCGCTCACCACACACCAGCTACAGGTGGAGAGGAGAGAGGGAGTCATAGAGCCAATAAAGTGGATGGGGATTATTAGGAGGCCATGATAGACAAGGGCCAGTGGCAGCAATTTGGCCAGGACACCGGTGTTACACCCCTACTTTTTACGAGAAGTGCCAGAGAGTCAGGACCTCGGTTTAACGTCTCATCTGAAGTACGGTGCTTTTTGACAGTATAGTGTCCCCATCACTATACCGGGGCGTTAGGACCCACACAGACCACCGGGTGAGCACCCCCTGCTGGCCTCTATAAAAAATAAAAAAAAACAAAGTATATTACATTAGAACTGGCCATTTATGCACAGACATATGCATTATGTACTGTATTTTAATGATCAGTCCACTGGAAGTGCAGCTTTTATTTAGTCCCAAACGTGAGCAGGTACAAAAGACATGGCATGGTATGGCTTGGCTTAGCATAGATTGACTTGACTTGACATGACTTGACAAAACAAGAATTCAGACATGAATAAACTCACCAACACAGCAGAGCAACAATAGGCTTGTTCGACTTAATGTGGTGCCGCAAAGATCGGCTGCCGCCTGACAAAAGCAATGCATTCTGGTTAGAACATTTGTCTGACTTTGATCGGCGCTGCAGCCGCTTTATGATCACATGTGTCATCAAAGTACCGCGAGAGCAAAACGAGATCAGCCACCTAGCTCAGGCACTGAAGTTGCTCAAAATCGGCTAAGAGAGAATTGATGACTTCATTCTCTTTATTCACTTTATTCTCATTGGTTAGATTCTGTGATGACAAGCACGAGGTGTGTTGCGTGTTTACTCTAACAATTCAATTCCAATAATGTTCACAAATCTGTGTTTTTATAACCGTAAAAGCTTTTTAGTGTAGTCGCACTGTTATCTTGAGTAATTTTTATCAAAAACACTGATAAAAGCATACATACCCTCACATTATCTGTATTTAGTAGCCTATTTGTTTA